TGTGTTTATAAGCTGTTTCTTTCTATAGATTTACTTTATGGGGCATGCTGTTTACAACTTTTAAAAGCATGTGCCTGCTGCAATAAACTCAAACTCCTTGCTGTTCGAGTGGGAATTGACTCATGACTGACCCTCCAGTGGACTTCTGAGGCTGTAAAGCAATTACAAGGGGGAGATTGCTTTTCTTTCTCTTGCAGAACTACCAGAGAGGGATGGTCTTGGTTTAGTAGCACAACTCCCTGTGGACTGCACCACCAGAGCTTGCCTGCACAAAGGCTCATTGCTATTGAATCAGAACCGACTCATTAGCTGAGGGCAGTATTTCTCCAAGGGAACTCTCAGGGAGTGAACTTGGCTTTCTTGGCTATTTATTAGCACTGTGGCAATAGCCTTGTTATTTAATCTCTACAAGTCACAATTTCCTCACCTGTAAAGTAGGTATAGTAATAGTATACATCATAAGGTAGATATGAAGATTTAAAAGAGCATTTAGTATTGTATGTTGTTATGATTATGCGCCATTTGCCATTCATGGCAACCCTATGTGCAGCAGCTCTGAAGCCTGCCCTATCCTGAGCCGGTCTCACTGACTCCAACACACCTTCCCCCATTGCCCCAGTTACTGTATCAATCAATCTCATCTAGAGTCTTCCTCTCCTGTGCTGTCCCTCCACTCTTCCAAGCATGATGTCCTTCTCCAAGGACTGTTCCCTCCTGGCCACGTACGTGTTCACAGTATGTGAGATAGAGCTTCAAAATCCTAGCATCCAAGGAAAAAAATCGGCTTTGCTCTTTCTAAGACAGACCTATTATTTTACTTGGTGGACCATGGTATTTTCAAGACTCTTCTCTGGCACCATAACTCAAAGGCATCAATTCTTCTGTCATCCTTAGACATTGTCCCGCTCTCTGATGCATGGCAAGTAATTGCAAAGACCATAGGCTGGATCAGGCACACCTTAGTCTCTAGAGGGTCCCTGACAGCAGATTTTCCCAGTACAATTTGTCTTTTGATTTCCTGACTCTACGTGGGACAGTTAATATGTATTGCCTCTAATAGTTCTTATGGAACTCTAGTAGCTTGGGGTAAGGCAGGCTGTTTGAATCCACCAGCTGCTCTGTAGGAGAAAGATAGGCAATATCCTTATGCAATTAACAAGCTCTGAAAACCTCCTGAAGGATCAGCTATGAGCAGCTCTAACTCAATCGCCATGAGATTGAGTTTTTACAAGAACTCTCTCCTCCACTGAAGCACGCACCTAGCCCATAGAGGCAGAGGGGGAACAAACTTCAACCCTCAAATCACCTGCTTTAACCTACACTTGAAGCTATGCCCTACAGTCTCAGCTACACCCTGAATTTCTTTAGAAGTTTCCATATCAACGCTCCCCAGCATCTTAAGTCCACATCCAGACTGAGGTGGCTGGAGAGTAGATACAACATAGAGAAAAGTAGAGGTGGGGTTATACTTTCACTGCTACAGGTATGGAATGACAAGTTTATGTAGTGATTTGCATTTGGGGGGGATGTTCAAAGAAATAGAATAAAATTAAACAAAAGACCCTGGTGTACATTGTAGATGACCCATATTAGTGACCAAAACAATGAAAAGGAAAGATTTTTTTTTTAATGGCTATTGGTGGCCTAGTGGTAAGGAGCTGTGTTGCCAACCTGAAGGCACTCAAAGAGCTCCTTGGGAGAAAGATGGACAATCTCCCCCCCCCCCCATGAGATTTACTGTTTCTGAAAACCCTCTGGAGAGAGTCAGTGTGAGTCAGTTTTGACTCAAGGACACATAACAATAACAACTGGTGGTGCAGTGCATTACTTACCAGCTTGCTAAGGTTGGCAGTTCAAATCCACTAGCTACTCTGTAGGATGCAGGTGGACAGTCTTCTCCTGTAAAGGTTTTATAGCCTGGGAAAGCCCGCCTCCACAGCAATGGAGCTGGCTGAATTTTGGTGTTTATAGTTAACATATCATAGATTGATCGTCGCAGCAAAAGGCAACCAGAGTCAGTAAGGAATGGGAACCAGATTGCAGGTCTGCGGATTCCCATTCCAGTGGTCATTCACCTTCACACCCCCCCTCCTTTCTGTCACACTACTTCCTCTCAGGGCCTAACCACTGAAAAGACAGACGACAAAGTGTATAGAATACACAGGGAGAGGGAATAAAGGAAAGCAAGAGGGATTGAAACAGATCGGGAAGAGCTAGTCCAAGAAACCTTTGCGATTAAAATCACTTTTAATGTCTGCTGACGAAGCCTTAGGCAAAAGTCTATGGGAATGCTGTGAGGAAGAGTATAATAACAGTGACTGTATCCTGGGTGACTGGTGTGTGCAGCCTGTTTTATGTACATCTTCTTTTTATTCTTTACAAGGCAGGTATTATTAACCCAATTACACCATGTGCCTCTAGAAAGCCAGGCCTCGTCCTGTAGACATGGCACTTTCACAGCTACACTCATTGCGGAATACTTGTAAAACTACATCATTATCTTGGCGAGTTGGGAGAGGATCTTGAGCAGGTCCACAAGAGAGGTGAGCCAAGGGGAATGGGGTCCTTGGGAAGGACACAGCCACCCCTTCCCAGAGAGTAACGAGTGAGTAAGCTGAAGCAGGGGAAATCCTGATAGGAGAGTCAAAGGGGGCAAAGCATGCAGCCGAAGCTCCCCGAAGCTGGGGTTAGGGGTGTATTAGATTTGTGGACCGAGCCTACTGCAGTGGAGAAAGACACGCGGAGGAGGTTGCTTCTCCCTGGGAAAGTGCTTCATCAGCGCCTTAGCCCTCTCTCTTCGCTGCAGCACTTTTTAAAGTGACAGCCACCGATGTTGGATGTTGCAGGATCCAGAGGCAGAAATGGGCTTTGCTCATTGGCTGACGGTCTAAATTCAGACCAAAAGAATGTGGTTGGAGACAGCTGGGTGGAAACTGTCCTAGTCCTGTCTTCAGTGGAAATATCCATAAGCCCTGACCAAGTGCCTCTTTCTCCTCCCGCCCCGTCCCTCACCCCCTCCTGTCTCTCTCTCTCTCTCATCAGGTTTTTGAAAAAAGTAACCAAACCGGCGCATTGTGCCCAAGTGGTGCAGCGACGTCCCGCTCACCCCAGCGCTTCAGGCCGGCTGTCTCGGGTGATTATTGCGAGGCATTCGGCTGGTTGATGAGAAGTGACACTTCCTCCACAGCTTCTTTTATCTGCCACTTGAACAGTTAACGTTAAAAGCCTGCTCTGTACCACCGTTGTCGCGACTGTTGTAAAGACCGAGGGGCAGGGCACTTGGGCTTCATAAAAACGTCAGCAAGACGCACGCAGCCAGCAGCCCGGACACCCAGTGACCCAAGACTGCGGCAAAGGGGTGTGGGAGTGGAAAGTGGGCGAATCGTCTCACCCCTCTCTCCTCCCCCAGCTCCGGCCCCGCGCACGTCTTCCACCGGCGGCGGGGGGCTGGAAGGGGGAGAGGTCGCCTCAGGTCACCAGCCCCCCCAGCGCCCAGGAAATCTGCAAATTCATTGCGTCCTTTCATCTTCCGGAGAAGAGCCAGCTCCAGCCCCTTCCTCCCCGCCTTCGGCTGGGCGACCACACTGGCTTAAATTCCTTCCCCTCCAAAGGCCTCAGTTTTTCCCCCTCCGCGGGCGTCCAGCTTCAGCTTTCCACTTTGCTTCTAACCTGGAGCCGCGCCCGGTCCCCACAACTTCCATCCTCTTGACCCGAGAGCCCTGCAGCTTCTAAGACAATGTGAACAAAGGGGAGCCGGCGCGAGGGGCTTGCGGGTGGGCTGCGGGGAGCGTGTGCGCGTCGGGGGCGCCCCGGTGCTCCGCGCTTGGCCGCCGCTAGGGGAGTCGGGGCGCGCGGACCGCCGGCCGGAGCGCAGTGTGTGCCGCCCGCCCGGCTGAGCTGCGGGCCCAGGCAGCCGCCCAGGCAGCCCTGGCTGCGGCTTTCTTTGTCCTGGACTCTGGCTGCGCGCCCACTGCCGCCGGCCGGCCGGGGGCACCAGCCCGGAGGGCTCCAGGCTCCGGCCCGCAGGTTCCCCCGCAGTGTCCCGCGGGTGAAGGAGGAAGGAGATGCCCACAGCCTCGGAGCCTCGGATAGGGACCGGGAAGCGGATGAGACGCGCCCTTCGCTGCCAGAGCAGAGGCAGGGCTTGCCCTACACGCGTCGTTTTGGGGGAGAAAGAGCTTCACAGAGCTCGCCCCTAACTCTCCAAAGATACACATGCGAGTCTGGGGGCGACTGGAAGGCGAAGACTGAGGGAGTTATTTAGCGCTTTCCCAGCGACCCGTGCTGCTGCGGGAGCCCACGGCGCGGGCGGGACCTCAAAATAGCCCCAACGCCCAGTCCCCGGAAGATGCCAGTGCGAGCGCACGCTGGAACAAAACCGCAGCGAGTCAACGAGAAGAGAAGAGACGGAGACTGAGGGACTGGGAGACTGGGCTGGGCTCACCCCCTTCTGCCTTACCTGCAATACAGTTTGCGCTTCAGTGTGCTTGGCACAAGAATGGAAGAGCAACTGCCAAATCCATCACCTCCACTCCCTCCCGCCAACGCTGTCCACTTCACCGTGTTCGCCAATATAAAGTCCACATGAAAACTCACCCCCCCCCCCATTTAAGCCCAAACCCATGAATGCCCCGCTGGCACCCCCTTAGCCAGTGGGAGCTTAGGCTTCCCATTTCCACCGCGCTGGAAAACTTTGAGTCTGGGAGACTCCGGGTGGGAGGTGGGTTCTGCCTTCCGCCTCCCAGTTCATCGCTTATTTGTATTTGACTTTGAAAGTTAAGTGTTCCTCAGTGAGCCTCCCGGTGGAGCGAGCGCCGCGCTTTGGCACTTGCCGCCACGCGCACTGCCGCAGCGAGGCGCAGAGCCGGCGGGGCTCGAGCTTCTGGCGGGGCGGAGGGGCTAGTGCTGCGGCAGCAGGTGTGGCGGGCGCTAGGACCGCGCGGAGGCTGGCGGCGGCCGCGGCGCTACCTTAAACCCAGCCCAATGCCGCTTCCTGCGCCACTCTGCGTGCAGGCGGGGGATGCGCAGGAGGAGCCGCTCCGCCCGAGTACAACACTCCCCGCGAGCCGGCGCGGGCAACACCTGTTCCACGCCAGCCAGGGCGGCACACGAGCTCCCGGACGCCGCTCGCCTCAGCTCGCTGCTCTCCACTGCTCTGAGCCAATGGACATCTGCGGACCCTCTGGAGAATTCTGGATATTAGCTTTGGACGCCTAAAGTTTTTTCCTCCCTTTTTTTTGTTTGATTATTATTATTATTTTTGGAGGGGGGACCGGGAAGGGAGATTGGTCTTCGCCAGCAACGTGAGATTTTTTTTTTTCTCCTTTCCCCTTGAAGGATTCATGCTGATGTCTGCAGAGTGTTAGAGAGTAAAAACAGCGCATGCCTTCCTGGAGTCAGAATCCGTACATTCTGACGTAGCCTGTGCATCTTAAAAATCCTTATAATAACGCCTAGGTATTTAAGTTGCTATGGTCATTCTGATCTCAAACCAAATGGAGAAACTACGGATTTTTTTCCTTATTATGGCTGGATGGGATGAAGACCTTACCGCCTGCTGAGAGCCGGGGATCTATCTATAGAGATACATAGATATGTTTATAAATATGTCAGTGTGTGAGTATAAAGTGGTGGTTTCTTAGACTATCAGTGGTTTGACCTTGAACCTGTGCCAGTGAAAACAGCATATTACTTTTATTTATGCATTTAATGGATTGAAGAAAAGAACCTCTCTTTTTTTTTTCTTTTTTCTTTTTTCTCTCTGCAACTGCAGTAAGGGAGGGGAGTTGGATATACCTCGTTAAAATCCCCTGGGTTTGACACCATCATTATTGTTTATTCTTGGGCTCCAAGTCGAGTCTTCTGATGGCTCCCTTAGGTGAAGTTGGGAACTATTTCGGTGTGCAGGATGCGGTACCGTTTGGGAATGTGCCCGTGTTGCCTGCGGACAGCCCGGTTTTGCTAAGTGACCACCTGGGTCAGTCTGAAGCAGGGGGGCTTCCCCGGGGACCCGCAGTCACGGACTTGGATCATTTAAAAGGGATTCTCAGGCGGAGGCAGCTCTACTGCAGGACTGGATTTCACTTAGAAATCTTCCCCAATGGTACTATCCAGGGAACCCGAAAAGACCACAGCCGATTCGGTAGGTATACCGTTAACCCTTTATTTTCCTGGCGAGGACATGATCTCCTCTTAACTATCGGAGAGGTGGTGGCTGGGTGGGGGATGCGGACCAGGTCTCTCTCCTCCAGATCAGGAAAAAAAAAAAAAAGAAAAGAAAAGCAGCCTCCGGAATTGTAGATTTGCTGCTGGCACTGGGTTGAAAGGCCTTTTAAAAAAAAATTGGTGGGGTGGTGGATGATATGATTCATAAATGTAACACAATCCGGTTCTTTCCCATCAGATGCACTGGGAGATGGGGTTTGGGAAGTTTCTTTTGAATGGATTGACTCCACGAGTTTTAAAGCTTTCATCTTTAACTACTAAAAACTTGAAAATGGATTCAGTTCCCTGCAGGCAGTAGTTTTGCTCTTATGTTCAAATTGAGGTTTTTGTAAAAAAAAAAAAAAAGTCTGCCGATTTTTCCCTCGAATTGAGTGTACTGGTTGAATCGTAAATTACCAATACTGTTTATCATCCCTGGGAGGGTCTGAGAAACCCACGGGCCAAAGTTGCTGACTGATTGTGCTGCGGGGAGAAGGACTGAAGCCGTATTTCAGACAGCAGGGCTGAGCGCTTGGGGACAATGGCTTCTGAAGAGGCAGCTCTTGCCCCCCTAAAAGTCTGTCCTTTCAGCTATGGAGTTAGACATCTATCGCTCATCTTGTTAGTGCGGAACCCCGCGGGCCTCTCTTGGGGTGTGAGCGTGCATGCGCGTGCAAAAACTTGAGTACATTTGAAAGGGCATTCCGAGGGTGGTATTTGTGACTCAGCATCGAGGGCTGCGGACTCCAGGGCGGGTGACATGGTACCACTTTAGAAGTGTCTGCACATGCACGTGCCTGCTGGGCCAACCTCAGCTCCACAGCATTAAGCCAAGTAACAGTCCTAGTGGTGGTGGTGGGGCTCTTGACGTTATTATGATTTTTTTTTTTTTAAGCCACCAGACTGTTGGAAGGAGTTAACTTCTGAGTGAACCCACCTGACAATACTTAAACTAGGTCGTAAAAAACCAGTCCTGTGGCGATTTTTCTTTCTCATGCTTTAATTCCAGATGTTGAACACAGTCTACACTGGGTATTGAGCTTCTTGGGGCTGTGGTTGATAGGGTCTGGTGATGGTGAGGAGGAGGCAGGTTGGAGATGGGGACAGTCCCAGGTCCACGAAGTCCACACTTTGCTCTCCGCGCAACCACGCGAACCCTGACCATCTCTCTTGCTCTGCTTGTCCACAAGCCTTGCTTACAAAAAAAGGGTGGAAAAGTTGTAGCTCTCGATTTTGCAATGATTCAGTTGAAATAGAACTTTTTTCTTCCCCTCCCGTCCTGCCCCCGGGAAGCGCAGCTTTGGTCTTTGCCAAGTGGAGACTAAACTTTGCGGAAAGTACGTCTGCTCTCGAGCAGCTCCAAGGGCGGCCCCCCAGTGCTTAGAACAACAGGCAGTGGAGGGGCGCGGGTGGGAGGGCCGGTCTGTCAAGGACCGCAGAGACCACTCTCCGGTCGTCGGGGGAGAAAGTGGCCAGTGGGTACAAGAGGTGTGGGGCCTGGTGGCCTTTGAACGTCCCCTCCCCCGCCCCCGACACCCGGGGCGGCGGCGGGCCCGGGGCGCAGAGCCCAGAGTGTGCAGCTCAGAGTCTTGCTGCGCGCAGGTCCGGCAGGTGCGGGGCCCGGGCCGCCAGGGCCGTGGCGCGCACTGGGCGGCTGCCCGGCTGGGTCCGCAGGGTCCTAAGCGCGCTCCGTTTCGAGCTCCCTTTCCTCCGGGCTGCTGGTGTCTCCTCCGATGCTGCAGGAACCGGTGTACCCGGAGCGGGGCGGGCAGGGGCTGAGACCATCCAGCCTCATCTAGGGACCTCCGAGGCTTTGCTTTCATTCAAAGTTTGGGGTCTCCGCGCTCTTTGTGTAGGAGCGTGTCCTGGAGGCTGACGGCTTGGGGTCCGGGAGCTGCAATCTGCGGGGTGAGAGCGTGCAGGCGGGAGCAGAGCTCGCGGCGGAGACTGGGGGCAGTCTGCGGTCTGGCCTCGAGTCCCCTGTGTCCTATCCCAGCTAGCTCCCTAGCCCCCCCTCCCCACTCCCCCCGCTTCGGAAACGTGCCGATGGCTCCGGAGAGCCGGGGACTCCACGGAAGCCGGGGAGATGGGCTGGGCTCTGAGATCCGGCGGAGCTGAAGCCGGAGGGATGGCGAGGGGCGGACAAAGGGCCGCGCGCGGCACAGGCAGCGGGCTATTGTTAACCCCCCGCCCTATCGCAGCTTGGCGGCCCGCAGGCCCCGCTCTTGCGGAGGCCTCTCCGCCCGGGGGACCCCGGGAGCGTGCGGGTCGCTGGTGGCGGGTGAGCTTTGTTGTGTGAGGGCCGTGGAGAGAGCTTCGAGTTCCCGGCGCACTGCGGGCCGCGGAGAGGGGTCAGGGCGCGTCAGAGTTCGGGCTCCTCCAAGGTCCCTCCCCCCCCCCCGCCCCTGCCCCAGAGCCTTTAAAGAATGCAGTCACCTTTAGGATAGGACGTTTGTCACACGCAGCGGAATCGTTATAAACCCGAGAACTCTGCTGCTGGGGCGAGCTGGGATACGAGGGTGGGAAGGTGGGGTCAGAGGGTGGGGGAGCACGGGAGCGGGTAGTCGGCAGAGGGCTGCAGGTAACAGCAGTTGAAAAGAGACCACAAAACAAAAACGAGCCCCTTCCCTCCATCCTGGAGGTTGAAGAAAGGTGTCGCCAAGGAAGTGACATCTCAACTCCTTAAGACTCGCTTGGCACCGTTATCTTGGGGAGGGGGCGCAGCCCAAGGAGAGGTCCCTTAGTGTTGGGTGGGAGGGGAGGGGACCCCCAGGCGGAACTGGGGTAAAGGGCGTAGAGGCGAAGGCACCTCTGAAGGCCCGGGACCCGCGGGGGCTGGGCTTGCTGGGCGCTCGGCTTTACCACTCACCCTCGCTTGGTTGGAGCTGAGTGGGTGGCTGTGCGCAGTGGGGGTGGGGGAGGAGGGTGAGGCAGGCGGGTTATTTAAGTCTTTCATCCGGTTGCAGTGAGAAGGGGGCCCCCGGGGTGACAGCAGTGCCGCGGTCTCCCGCTGCTACCGCTGCGGCAGGTCCCAATATTAGCAACCCTCTGCGGCGCAGTGCGTGCAATGGGAGCCTCCTACCCTTCCAGCCCGTCCCCTCCGGAGGCGTGGAGGGCGGGCGCTAGGACCCGGCGGGCGCGCGCCAGCGGGAGCGCGCCGGCGGAAGGAGGCGGGGCCCCAGGGGCTGCGACAGCAACCTCACACCTTGCGCGTCCCCCTCCCCACCGCTTCCTCACCTTCTGCCCTCCTCCCTGCCCCCACTCAGCCCACTCCCCCTGCCCTCGACGCAGACCCCTCCTCCTGAGCCCCGTGCCCTCGTGGGCGCTCACCTTCGCTCTTTTCCCGGTCTCTAAGACAGCGGAGCATGGGGTGGGGTGGGTTGGTGGCTGGGGCTGGGAGTGGGAGGCAGTTTACACCTTGATTAAAATAGAAGGTGCTTTTTTTTTTTTTTACCTGAAATGAAAATGGCAGAAGGAAGCGTGCT